TTTTTTTTTTTTTTGGTTTTGTATCTGAACTGGCCTCATTCTGCTGGAAAATTTAGTTTTTCCTTTTCAAGCAAACTAAATAAAGCTTTGATTACATCCGTCAGTTTGGTTTTTGGGCTTAGATGGTTTGTTGGGTCACAAAACTGACTGAAACTTGGGGATGTATAAACTGATGGGCTGATATTCGGATAAAGCCCCATTGTCTGTGCCCATTGCACAGCTTTCTCTATGGAGGTGACCTACAGCTGTGCAAGAGGTTTGGGGTGACTGAAGCATCAATAGGGCTGATTCCTTGTTCTGTGATGCCATCCATCGCATCAAGCGATATATAAAGTCATGTTGCTGGACGTCTGTAAGAGGGGAAACATTTTTCATCAGTATCCCATTTGATTTTTCGCTTGGGATGACACTTGATTTCACAAAGCTTTATTTCACTAGCTGAAAAAAATACATTTTGAAAATTCCTATTGGCTGCTATTGCTGATCTTTCCCCCTTAATATGCTTGCTGCCTGGTTGTCATGCTGAGGCACTGGTTTCAGTTCTTGACCCTAAAAATGTGTACAGGTCAAGAGTATGGCATCAGTACCCTTGAGTCAGTGATCTGGAACAAGCATGCAGGAAGCTGGTCAGAGGAGTTCAGATACAGCCAGGCAGCTAGCATGCTCAAAGGCATAAACACGATGTAAATCCTAATTCCAGTGAGGAAATCAAAGTTGTAGAAGGAACTAATGGACAGTCACCTAAAATCAACATTTTACATTTAGGAGCTCACCAGTTTGCTAGTTTGTCTTTGAGAATCTACTGCTTCTTTATACCACAGAGTGCATGCTATATACACACAGTAACATGCCGTATATGTGTATCACCATTCATTTTTAATGTCACCCTAACACGTATATAAAGAACAAACAAAAAAATAAAAAGTCGGTTTCATTTATGAGTGGAGGGCCCAACTGATGAAAACATGGTGGGAGGAGGAGTGCCCGGTGTGGGTGCTCAGTGGGAGGAGGAGTGCCCCGGTGTGGGTGCTCGGTGGGGGGAGGAGTGCCCCGGTGTGGGTGCTCGGTGGGGGGAGGAGGAGTGCCCCGGTGTGGGTGCTCGGTGGGGGGAGGAGGAGTGCCCCGGTGTGGGTGCTCGGTGGGGGGAGGAGGAGTGCCCCGGTGTGGGTGCTCGGTGGGGGGAGGAGGAGTGCCCCGGTGTGGGTGCTCGGTGGGGGGAGGAACCTTCACCTGGACACCAAGAATAGAACCCAGGGGTTGGGTAATAAAATTTAACTTTTGCTTAATGCAGCGATTTAATTTGTGGACATTTCCTTCAAGTGTAGGGTAAGCTTTAGGAATTTCATGTAAGGAAGAAAACGCAACACAAAACTATTTATTTATAAAAGTTTTTAATCCAAAAATATGTTTGACAAATCTTTAATAAAACATATTTAAGCACCTTATTTTTGTTTCAAGCAAAATTGTACATTGGAAAGCAGCCAGCTTCACAAATATTATACTTAATTCTTTATTGAAGCTGAACTCCAGGTAAACTGCAAAATACACAGAAGATAAACCTATAAGGAAGCTGTTTTACCTGCCAAAGTATTTGTATTTCTGTCCCATTGCTGGGATTGGAAGGCCGTCTCTGGTAGGACAGGACACCTGATTTTTTGTTGCAGTTCAGCTTGTGATTGGACAATGGAAGCTCAGCTCCCTGTCACTCTGCCCTCTCCTTCTATTAATATGCTTTTTGCATTGCAGCACACAACTAATTGGCTCTTTGTAATGCTTCTCCCTCTCCTAGTCTGCTATACAAGCAGAAGCAGAGAAAACGCAACCAGTACAGCAGGAATACAAAGCACATTGTGCTAGTGACATACCGCACCGAGCTGCTCACATTTAACGTACCGAATATACAATAAAGTAAATACTAAAGATTAAATTTAATATTACACAAAAGCAATGCAAAATTGCATATAAATATTACTCCAACCCATAAAAGGATCGGTCCGCCATAAGGGGCCTGGATACGTATATCTCCAATAGCAAAGCCTAAAGAATTTCCTGGCTCTTTACCCACCTGCCCTTCTATTGTGTTCTCCATAATTTGTCAGGAAGGTAGAAGACGTGTGGACCCAAGAACTCAAGGAAAGAGATTACCCCAGTGGATTTCCCAACCTTCTGCTTGAATTTACAGTTCTGTTATGTTTAATAAAAGTTTGCTATGGCTATTTTTAACTCCATCAGAAGTGTAGTCTGGTTTTTAACAGCTGCACATAGAAACATGTAATCCCAAATTCCAGTGTAATTAAAGAAGTCGAGGGAATTATATGCCAACCTCTCCTAAAAACTACTTCAATTTTGGTAGTAAACTGATGAGTTGCATCACCCATTGGATTCTTATTTTTCCAATTTCTCCCGTTACTGTTGTTGACAGTTCATAAAACCAGGAAGTGCCCCTCGCTGTGTTAGGACTGACCCCAGAAAAACCCCACTGTACTGTACACAGGGACACTCTGAGCCAAGTAGGTAGCATCCTATTCAAGTAGACTGACAGGGCTATTCACAAAATGGTGAGGAGTTTGGAGAAGTGAACACTCTAGGACAACATAGCTGAACTGGATAGTGAGCTGGATTGGAGAATTCTTCCAAATCAGCTATGTTGTCTTAGATTGTTCACTTCTCCCGCCTTCTCTAAACGCTTCACCCTTTGGTGAATAGCCCTGTAAAACTCTTTGACAAGTTTTAAAGCAGGGGTAGGCAATGTTTGATGCTCTAGCTGTGGTGAAAAGACAACCCCATCATGCATCTGCCTCTGGGAGCCCTTCCTGTGGATTTGTAGTTGCACCACAGCTGGTGGGCTGAATTTGTCTTCCCCGGTTCTAGAGGATAGCAAACTTTTTAGTTATCCCAGTTATTAAAGTGTGGGGCAAAAAGTTATGTTGATTATTTACATTGATTATACATCAGATGAATATACAGAACACAGTTGGGAGCTTATTTTACCACCACCAATAAATACAAAATATTTGCCAACAGTTCATTTACATGTTTGCATTTTTCATCAACCTTATTCTAAAGTGTGTAGAGACAATAACTACACGGCACTTAGGCACTTGATAGAAATGATGGGTGTGATTTGTGACCCTTTTGAGAAAAAGTTCACAAATAGCCCTGTGAAAGGTGAACGGAATATAGAGAGAGCAGGAACAAGCCTAAATAATAAAAAACTGCACAGAAATATATAATTATTATTATACAGGATTTATATAGCGCCAACAGTTTGCGCAGCGCATTACAGTATAAGGAAGACATTACAATCGCAATACAATTCAAGACAAGATGGTAAGGAGGGCCCACAATCTAAAATACAATGGGGTCCCAGTGTCTGTCACCTAATTAACCTGTATGACTAGTCTTAATTGCATGAACGCTTCACAATGTTCTATGAGCCCCAAGATTCCATTGAGTGTTTCCAATCTGTTTGTTCTTCTACAGATGACCATGAAATAGAGGTGGTGGTCAGATATTAGTAGGTGATCTCTAACTGATGGATCGGCTTTCTCCCACTCACATTATAAGATATGTTGACATTATACAAGTGGGGCCTTCAGAGGTCACCAGGATTGGCAAAATATTTTTTTTTCCATTGATGATTCGATCTTGCTTACAGACACCACAGATGATGTTTATCTTTGTGAATGTTATACTTTGTTACATAGGATTCCCATGTCCTGTATATCACCTGCACCTGCCATAGAAGAAAGCCATGAATCCAAAGAGTAACCTGTAAGGGCCCTTTCAGGCCTTGGTGTCCTGGTGCATTCCATCAATTGTGTGGAAATGCAGGTTGCATTAAAACAAAGTGCACTTATCCTTTATTTCCCCTTCCCTAAACAATCCCAATCTTCCCCCTGCAGATCCGTACTTACCCAGATCCAACCGGCATGCTTCCGCTATTTCTTACATCTGCTGTCGCAGTGCTCCCTCTGCTGGCCGCACCTGTCCATTACAGCCCCATAGACTTCCATGGGACCATCTTCCAGCCAGAAGACAAACGAAGCCAGGAGAGGAAGACTTCCAGTGCTGGGTGTCAAAAAAACACACTTCTCTGATTCTGCACAAATTTTGCCCCCCCCTTCTTTTAGGAATACATCCATCCCTTCTGTGTTGTGTCCAGAGGATTTTATGCAGACCGTCAACCTGACTGTGGGATTGAAGCTTTCTCCTACCGCAATGGTAATAATCTGCTTTTTGACAGATTTTACAGAAGGGATAGTGTGGTCACACTTTTTACTTTGGGGATTTATTAAAGTGTAAGGTAGGGCTGAAGCCAAAAAAGAAAAAATAGGCGGAGGGCTTACATGACTAAGTGAAGAGGGGACACAGGGAATAAAGAGTTAATTAAGGGTTGTGTCCATAGGGCAGGGTCACTTACCTAATTGGTCAGGTTCTAAGTTCAGGCGGAGCCTGTGATGTGGTCTGAGGAGGAGGGTCTCACTGGCTTTAATCGGAGATCGTCGGATGAAGAGAGAACTTCCCACCCAGCCTGTTATTTGGCGTTTGTGGCTTGTTTACTGTCTGTGCAGTGTTGGCGGTTTGGGATCTTTTGAAGGCGGCCAAAAATAGGTGATGGTGGTTAATGTTTGGGGACCTGTCTTGGTATGGTGTCCTCAGGTCATGGTGAGATATGGTAGTCGAACAGGTAATTTAGACATTGATGTGTCTGCGGTCAATGTGCAGGTTGTCCCCG